TTTGGCCATATTACTACTACACGGAACACGTGTTTTGATGTAAATAAACAATCTGTTGTATACGCCACTTGGAACTCAAGTTTCAAGGACACGCTCGCGACAACCCCTCCGCTTTAATATGATGAGCACAAAGAGAACTTTCAAAAATTTAACTGGGACTGTGTCATTTTCAATGACTTGTTAATGCTAGTTTTCTCATAAAAGCAGGAACCAAATTACCAATCATGATTAATATGCAATGAAACACACTTTTTACATGCATATTTTAATAAATGTTGTTGACGCCTGGTAAAAACACCCTGGGCCTATACTCTGGGGTGCCCTCAACTCGTTAAATGTCTAAAAACAGAGGGGTGGGCTTATACTCAGGGAGGTGCTTAGGATCAGGGAAGTACGGTAGTTATTGTTATGGAATGAACTTTAGTGATGGATACATCATATACTGAATGCGACAATATATCGGTGATTCTGCACGTACATTTAGTTAGTCTGTGAAAGCTGTGACATGAGTGGTGTTTATTGCCGAGTTGGCATTTCTGTGTTTCGCATACACAAAGGGTCTGTCAGGGAACTGGCAAATGATTGATCGGTGGATTTGTCCTGGTTTATTTTCATCATTACCGATAAGTGACAGTTAGCACGTTCATGTGGACAGTTGATAACGTGTTTAACTTGTTGTGGACCTGTACAGTAACATGTTGTTTACCTTAGGTCTGATGCGATGAAGGATGTGTGTATGTGCGTTGGGAAGTTTTGTGTATTTTGCAAATAATTTCACGCACTGCTTACGTTTGACCAGGTATATTACATTTAGCATCCATTGTTTGCATATTAAATAGCTAATTTGCATATTGTCAGTAACTACTTTAAAAATTGGCGGACGTCAAATGTTGGGTTAACTATTTCAATTTATTCAACTGAATGAATGAATGAACAAATATTTATTATGTAATTTGCATTATTGTTGATGTGGATGTTGGGGCCACGTTCGTCTCCTGAATATAGTTTCTGGGTGTACAGTAGAAATAACGTTCATTTGATATCCGAATTCATAAATGAGATTTATATTCCAACACAAAAGAAATAAATAACTGTGTCATTACAATGGCATGACATTTAAATATCACGTCATACAGATAAAAAAAAATATGTTTGCTGTTTCGAAAAACAATATTTACTCAATTTCACCGGGTTTAATTGCTGTGCCGAGATCATCGGACTATCCAACTAGAGGCGTCCAGTGCCAGTTACGGGCAGTTCAGCCAATAAAAACAGGCGATTGATAATATCCGGCCCGTAGAACGTATTGTTAATATTTAACGAATGGCAATTGACAACTTATTGAAACTGTCTGTTGATGACTGTGTCCCATGTTCTGCCGCCCATCTAACGACGTCTTTTCTAAAACCAAAAGTTCTATAAATGTCAAGGTATTGTTAGGAACTTGTTCATTACTTCATGCCAAGTGTTATCTTTGTTAGATTTGTGAATATCAAGATGAGATTTATATTTAAAATTCATTTCATCACATATTTTGGATATTCGTTGATCGACGCAATTGTTTCGTGATCGAAGAGTACTACTACCCTGGTAATATGATAGGAATGTGCCTTCAGAAACTGAATATATTGGACGTGTAGGTTAACCGTAATTTATCCTTGTACCCCCCCCCCCCCCGCCACTACTACTGCCACCACTGAATGAGAGACTATTTATGCTTGGGAGGAACGCATTGTTAGTCAATTTTCAAGGATTATTTGTTCAACTCCGAATTTACCCATACCTACAAGTAACAATTTAATATTGTATGACTCGGAGTCTATTGAAGAGGTGCGTATGTATAATACATTTCAAAGTCGAAAGCAAAATCGCAAATACTTCGTCATGCGAACATAGTATCTATGTATATTCAGAATATCTTTATAACAAATGGTTACATCGGACATGATTAAATGAATACACAATTTTAATTGCTTCCGCTATGTGCTCACTAATATTATGAAGGAACTGCTATAATAATAATAATGATAATAATAATAATTATGATAATAATAATAATAATAATAATAATAATAATAATAATAATAATAATAATAATAATAATAATAATAATAATAATAATAATAATAATAATAATAATAATAATAATAATAATAAGGCCAGTGCTTGATTTTAGATTGTCTATATAATATGGCGGTATGGTGCCATGGTTTACGTACTAGTTAAAATCATGGTCACGTTATAGTTCCGGCGACCACTTGTGGTTTATGCGCTGTAGCCGTCACGTGACTATGATTTAACTGGTTCGTGTCACGGCTGTTGCGAATTAGGGAGTTTCGGCCAATGAAATTGCCGCTGTGAATACGCATGGCTTAGTTAATGCATCTGTTTCATATTCTCAGTTGTCGGCGCTTTATGGCACATAAGTACAGAATTTCTTGAACGGCAACTGACCAATTCAATTAACTTAACCGTGGTACAAACGGATAAACAATAGACTCCATTTGACCATCAACACCGTCTTATCATGGATGGCTACATCTAAACGAAAGATTCCTCGGTCGATGACCTTGGCATAGTGAAACATAATTCGATGTTAAGTTCCAGGCTACGATACTTGACATGTGTGATTATTTCTCACCAAGACGGTCAAGCATTCCTAATACGTTTGTTATTCAGTGTCAAAGATATCAAAGTGTACATTTCATTATGATTTAATAACTATTAGTCAGGTATTGTGATATATAGCCCCCCCCCCCCTCCCGCAATGCGAACGGTATAAACATTTTTACTTCAGCGGTTTGATAAATGTATTTCGTTCAAAAATTCTCACAATGCCCAATTCCTTATTTGAGGAATAAAAACAACTACCATTGTCGCGCAGAATGAATTCTAATTAATATAAATAAATTTTAGAAGGATCTGTCTCAAATGATGATTTCGCGAAGACGCTCGCTGAAAGATCGGTGCCAATTGCAGCTGTAAAATAAAAATGAGAACGTTATTTCTTTATTTCAATGATCGGTGGATTTATATTGCAATTAATTAGAGCTCATCTCGTTAATTCTGTCAAACCATGTATGTATCTGCACCGCACGTATCCCCGTATTGAACGTCGTTGTCAGCCGCAGACCCACATAACTTCTGTCCAATGGATTGAAGTAAATACAATTAATCATAATACATTTTTTCGGTGTTTCTCGATGTTTAAGAAGACACCTTTTACAATAACGTCTGTTCGACATTTATCGGAAGCAGTTGACCGTTAAAATAAACCAATTGATCTCACTTAAACATTGCTCCCGTAAACAAACACACAAGCAAACAGATTGATAATCACAACGTGAATGAAAACAGAGTGGTTTATTGGGTGTAGAGAAATACGTCTTTACAAAGACAGGCATACAACGGGTAAGATGTATTGACAAAAAAGTAGTAATGTTGAATACACGTTTAAACTAATATGTATACAGTAGACGGTAAGTAGACGCGTATGTTGATGGGAAATTAACAACACTTGAACGAACAGATTGAAAAATGTGTGTGTAGATTTCATGAATGGTATAGCATGGAACTCTTAGGTAATATATTCAGTATGTGTAGTGTCGAAGGTGTTAATTTCATCAATGACATCGACTTACTTATATTAAAAGACTCGAAGCAAACTTACTATACTTTGATGTTCAAGTTGTCCATTTGGTTACAGTAGAAAACAAACACAAAGAACAACAAGCTTTGAACGTCAATATCTCCCCCGCCAAAATGATGGTCCAACGTTTCGGACATTTAAATTTTCCTGTAACTTCTTTATTATTTTGTGGACCAAATATTTTTAAAAACTTGAAACATTTGTATGGGTTTATTATTATGAATTTGACTTTGATCTTCAAAAGTTCAACCACCCTCTACTGCGTGCATTATTATCTAATTCACAATAAAAGTCTTAAACGTGTATGAAAACTGGTTAACTGACTTAAAACTAGTAGAAATGAACATAAGATGCCCATGTTGTCATTGTATGTATGACTTGCAATATGGCTGAACCAATTCACAGATTCAAAGTTGTCTGGCCAATGTTTTTTATTTTAAAATCGCAGATACGTGTACGTATGCAAGAAACAAAATAATGCACAATATATTCTATTATTTAGCATAGTTCTTACACGTTCTCATCAAATTAATCTTTGCCCGCTAAATTTGTACGTATTTACAACAATTTATATTACAAATTATATAACCTCACTTACATTGATTCTATGTATATTCCCAAGGTGTGTTTTTTGTTTTGTATTGAGCGGACAGTTTATCTAATCGAGCCTACTGGTATATTCAAAATATAAATTTGACGCAATATATGCAAAATGTACGCCGTAGAATTTTTTTTTAGAAGAGGGGGCCTTAATTGTCGATGATTTTTGGTTGTTGTTTTAGTTTTTCAGAGTCGTATTGATATACCGCTACGTAAGATTTCAGGCCTTCGGGGAGACTGCATTTGCAGCAGACCGCGAAAACGTAATTGACGTCGTCGATCTTACTGGCCGCTATGCCACGAGTTGTTGGTCCATCATGTCGATTTCCTATGATACCTACTGTCTCTCCCTTCATTGTAAGAACTCGAATTCCGGCACCCCCAACTATGATCTGATCATCCATATCTACAGAAACTCCAGTGGGGCCTGGCACGTGCTGGATTAGCCTGACAACGGAACCTTCCGGATCAAAAACTTGAATACGATTCGCGATGTCGGTAACGATTAGGAAATCCCTTCGGGTAAACCTCAAATACATCGGCGTGTCAAATTTACCTAAATCGCACCCCCTGCTCCCGATGGCTCGAATGAATTTCCCCTCTTGGTCAAGCACAATAACACGCCTTCGATTTCTGTCCACAGCGAACAACAACCCTCTGCTATTGACGGCCAGGCTGATTGCACCTTTGAGTTTTTCGCTGATGATTTCTTTCTCCGCTTCTCCGTCGTAGGTAAATTTGACGATGGCGTTGTTGTCGGCATCGTCGAAGTTACCGGCACCCAGCACGTAAATAGACTCATCATCGGCGCTGACCACCACATCCCCTGGATAGAAATTCTCCAGTTTCTCGCTCTTATGCGAGATGTCTCTCTGGAATTCCCCGTCTTTAGTGTACACCTTCACTTTCCCGTCACCGAAATCAGCGACAAATACGTCTCCCTTTTGCGAAACGGATATCCCACACGGCGTCACGAGTCGGGCCTCTTCTGGTCCATTGTCGCTCCAGCCGAAATCTGCGACTTGCTTGTAAGCAGGTTCTTCGTCGAGTTCTTCTTGTTGTTCACTGTCGTCCTCCCCATTTTCGACCGCTTGTTGTTGTTCGTCGTCAGACATCCTGTCACCTGTAAAACATTAAAACAGATTGATCAGGTTCCCTTGATATTGTTCATAAAACTCAGACACACAAATAAATTTCGTTGGTCCTGTTTAACAAGTGAAATTCCCGCGAAAGATCTTATGATATGTCTAACATACACTCATAACAAGTACGATGACAACACCTTCAATAAAACGAAGTTATGCTCATCCACATCAAACAAGGGAACGAACAATCCATACATTACGGTCAAAGCTGTAAATGACCAGATGACGAAAGATACGGCATGAACAATTAGTTTATTGTAGTTCAGTATATGTATAGCACAGTACAGTGAGATACGCTTCTGAAACGAGTATTCCGTCCGGTATACGTGTCTTCCTACGCGTGTACTATACAACTGTTCAACAAAGCCGTGCACTCATTATGCATACAGTCATTATTAAGCAAAATTACTAGTACAAATGTATATCTAATTCGTAGATCTGGGAGACGTGTGTTCAGAAATAATTTGAATATTTGCAAATAAATGTTATCCTAGTCGGGACTAATGGAAATATATTGTTATACAATTGGACTTGACTATTTATAGTGTGAATATCATTGATACAGGGTTAACTTCTTCATTTTTGCATTAATCTCGGGAATTCCTTCTTTGAGGCTTGAAATTCAATTATTTGAAAACACTAATCAACGTACAGTAATGACAAGCAGGGATTTCACGGCTGTAAACTAAGTTTACTGATCATTATTAATATTCTCCATACGCAGTATGCATTTTATAATTAACGCAGTTCTTACGTACATATCTATGAACCACTGTTACGCAATACGCAAATAAAACGACATTCTAAGCGCGATAAAATGTCAACCAACATACACATCTAGTGGGGTGCGTACGGCTCATGCTGCCTCAAAAGTGGCCTGACAGAAACAAAAATGCTTTATACACAATTATTTAAACCTACCCATTCTACAAGAAACAATTGTTCTACTATTGATACTCGCAACAAACGCAAGACGCCATTATTTGGCGTTATTGGTCATTTCGTCGCATTACCCAATTGTGATACGCTAGCGAAGATCTGTCGTCGTGCATCGTGAAAGCCACATTACGAAAGTCATCGATGTCGACCATTGACAGCAAATCATTGTCAATTTTGAGAAAGAATTAATTACTCTAAACTGTAGTAATCTATATAATTCATACTATCTCTATTATATTTACAGTTAAAGTAGAAATGAGAATTTCTATATAATAAATTATTCAGTGTTACCACGAATCTACCAAGGCAACTACAACATTGACACACGAAGTCGTGTTTTTGTGGTATGTATTTCTCTCCAAACTAAAAAAGATTAACCGAATGATCGATTTGTAAAATACCTGTTCATCAAGCGGAGCTGCTGAACACCACTGCAAAGCTATGGGCCTGCTGCTGAATACATAGAAGCGGCCGGGTGCGCGTTCGGTCAATGTTAAGGCTTCGGCGTTCTCCGCCGGAATCGCAATACGTTAGTTGTAAATGGATTAGTGTCGATATGAGCGCTCATATCAAATGAATATTAGCCGAGCTATCGGCACGTCTCGTGTTATTTAGTAACCAGCATCCTTGCATTATCGCTGAAGTAGCCCCGGTTTACACAGTCTTGACACAATGATTAATATTGGTCTATTGTTGCCATTGTCGTTGACTGCTATTAACGTGGCATTGGTAAAACCCTACACTTTAGACTATACAATGCTCTTATTGCCTGCTAATTGTTGGGTCTTACATCATTAATAATTCAAAACACGCCTTGATAATTGTTTTTTGACCGGGATGGAACGGAAGCGCTTACAAGTTTCTCGTGTAGAGTTTGGATAGACGATTAGACACAAATATTGAAATTTGTATTGTACAAGTTACGTATAGC